CTTACTTACTTACTTACTTACTTACTTACTTACTTACTTACTTACTTACTTACTTACTTACTTACTTACTTACTTACTTACTTACTTACTTACTTATTAAAAGTAAAAGGAAGAGTGTTTTACTCACTGTTGAGTTGTGGTGAGTAGCTGCCATCTTGAATTCTGAACTCTTCCACTTTCCAACATGGAATTCCCACTTGAGATGGTATTTCAGTTTAAATTTATGACTTGGAAGTGGGAACTTCCCACTAGGCAGATGGCAAAAATCCCACTAAATGGAGGTTTTGCACAGTGAATGTCACCAACTTTTGWATCCCAACTAGTGGTGGGACGTCATAGTTTTGCAGGCAAAATAATACACAATGCATTGTGGGAGATGTAGTTTWTGGTCAATGCTGGTTTTAATACATATTAATATATCTTTGAAGCTCTCACAGACCACGTACAATGCCATGGCATGCCATATTTGGCCCATGGGCCTTGAGTTTGATGTGCTTTAGAACAAAAGCTATAAGCCAAAATTATCAAAACAAAGGAGATTGGTTTCAGAACTCATGCCATGTGATGAACTAAACCCGACTACAGCTAGTCAATACTCCTCTTCACTCACAAGCTCAGGCTCCTTCCTACATAGAGGTGGCTTTTCATGTCCCAAGAGCCAGCTAAGCTAGGGTCAGAGTGCCAAGACCTCGGCCTTTAGCAGATGCCCATAGCCTTTTGCACCATTTATTGCAGTTCAACCAGTAAAACAAGTTCCTTTGAGTTTAAATTTATGATGATATTTAACCTGAACCATCAGTGTCTTTTCAGTATTTCACACTTAAATCTGTCCTTATCTAGTTCAAAATATTTTCTCAAGCACTTTTCAGCTTTTATAACTTCCTGTGTCTGTGTGTCTGCAGTGGTCTGCAGGAAGGGTTTGGATAGCACCACACTGGCAATTCACGATCAGGAGATCTACTGCAAGTCATGCTATGGGAAGAAATACGGACCTAAAGGCTACGGCTATGGACAGGGAGCAGGGACACTAAACATGGACCGAGGAGAGCGGCTGGGAATCAAACCAGAAGAGTAAGATAAGCTACAGCATGAAAACAGAATGTTTGTACTTCACTGTCTTCTGTTTTAAATATGAAATATATACAGATTAGATGTACAGGATAGAAATGTATTTTTTGGGTTTATTTGTCTTAAATTAGTGCTGCAGTCTAATCCATCATTGCTCACAGTAGGCAGAAAAGTATACACCCTACTGTCTACTTCATTGACTTAATAAGTGGAGTTTGGATTGATTTCTAATTTGATTACAATAATTCAACAGAAAAATTTAATTATTTTAAAGTTAAAATGTGGWAAAACWTCTTTAAAATAATTTTAAAAATATATAAAATTGAAGTGGCGTGCGCACATAATCACCCCTAAAGACACTACTTTCTAAAGAGATAGTCCAGTCAACTTTGAAGTCATGGTTTATCTAATAGCTATTATTAGTTGGTACTTTATCAGCTGTGATACCAGTCATAAAGTATGGAGTATGGAGAATGAGGCAAAAGTCTTCATCCAGGCTACTACTTACTATACTTGTTATTATTTTTTGTTTCTTCTTTATTATTATTGTCCAGGCCTAAAAGAAAACTTTTTTTCATTGCTACGTTGCTAAAACGAACACTTTATAACAAAATGGTTTTCTTGTTTTTCCGAGATATTTGTGTCATAACACAAACATAAAGCTCAACAATAATTTCAAGTCATTTGACAGTTCTACGCTTCTGTAAATATTAGTTAATGTAGYGTTCTTCATACCAATGTGTTGTTTGCGAGAAAGAGAAATTATTTTCTAGATGCCTGAAAAAAAATACAAATAGTGTGTGAATGTGTGTGGGCATGGGTGAATGTCTGTAAGTGTAAAGCGCTTTGGGGTCCGGAGGGACTTGATAAAATTCTCTATAAGTTCAGTCCATTTTTTTGTGTCGGTTTTGTGTCAGTTTTTGTGTCAGTTCAGTCCATTTTTACCATTTACCAAATAAAATTATGCACTCATTTGTCTAGCCAGAAGCCTAGCCTGGACAAAGACTTTTGCCTCTTTCTCTAAACTTAGTACCCTATGACGAATACTGTCTATCACAAACTAACTATTGATATCTATTAGACAGAACATCACATCAGAGTTCTTTGTTCCTTGCAAAAAAMCCATTTTCCCCAGTACTGATCCCTGATGGAAAATTATGGTGCTAAACAGGTAGAAAAGTTAGAGGAAGCTAACGCTAACTGCTAAGATGATTAGCAGGACTGACACAAACCTGTTGTTAATTTTTTAATGGTTTAATATGAAGATAGGTTGGATAATTTGTGGCAAATCGGCCAATCCAAATCCAGAGTCTACACTCTGGGGAAAAATGAACTTCTGACCAACCACAAAGTAAGTTTTTATGTAAAGGGGGGTGAAAAGTTCTCATGGTGGATTGATACAAGAAGGGGTGGAAGACTCAAAGCTGCAAAGAAAGTGATGCAATTTTTGCTATGCAACTATGACAAGGAGAGCTGGTTTCAGCAATTCAGATGGAGTATACTGGGCATTTAAGAGGGAATAGTTGTGATTTAATTTGAGATAAATGGTTTCAAAATAGAAGTTTTACACTTGTGAACTTTTTAGTGGTCTTAAAATTAGTGGAACCTTATTTAGCAGAAGCTAATTGGTCCACTAACGGTTCCCAAAGCTAGCAAAAAAACTAATCCACTTAATGAGAAGATAGTTCCTCTATTAGCAGGTTAGCAGAACTATGCCCACCACTGCCAAGAGCTATATCAGCAGGTGGATATATATTAAGATGAGTTTRTTATATGCTTAGATTGACCACAGGTGCATCTAATTTATCTAATTATATGGCTTCTGAAGAGAATGTTTGAGGCTGAAGAGACTTGTACCACATTTTCTGTTGTTTTTAAAAGCTTTTCCATAATTTAACTTTAGTTATTACCGTATCTGTAGAATTWTTACTTAAAATCAAATTAAACACCCAAGTAAATTCTAATTCATAATGCAACTACAGAAAGARCACCAAGGCAAATGCAACCCACTGTATGTGCCCAGAGCTGTATGTCATCCAAGTTTCCATGTAATGGGAGTAAAGAAAACGTCTGAAGGTGTGCATTCTGGGATGGAGTGAGAGAGTGAAAGCTTCACTCTCTTGTTGTTCAACATGAAAATACTTTAGACCCAATTCTTACATCACATTTCAGAACGTCCTGTAGAAAAGCTGTGTTTCATCAAACAGCATGACAGGAGTGAGAATTCAGAGGTCACTGAGTTCTGTGGTGCTCGGTGGTGGAATCATGTAGTCGTGGTTTATGACTGACTGGGTTGTTGTTTCTAAACAGCATGGCTCACTGCCCTGAACCGGGTGTACGTCTCCAAAACAATAAACTGCTTCATGTAAAAAAAAAACTTTATTTAAAATTTAGCCACCAACTACGTGAAGTCATATTTACTTGTACTGAGCTAAAATTAGATGTTGTACAACCAAGTCGTTCACAGCACATACTCCGCTAATTGAAGGTCCAAAACAACTTTATCATTTCTCATTATGAGATGAAATCTAAAAGTGGCGCCTAATATGTTTTCCTTCAAGCAAAGCTAGGTCTTTATTTTTGTAAAAGTCTCTTGTAACTGAGTTGTTTTTATTRTTCTGTTTAGAGCAGCGTTCCTGCAATAGTTCAGCAAACATTTAACTTGTATTCTCTTCCTTCATGCAATTTGTCAGTTTTTTTTTTCTTCACTAACTAAACCACAAAAGCTTGGAGTGGAAAGACCAGCCAACAGTCTATTGCCTCATCAAATCCCACTTGGCATGCAGAACAGTTTGAGGTTTAGTGTAAATCTACAGCAGAGGCTCTGGAATCTCTGTGACATTATAGTCTCTCAGAAGTGGGAGGAAAACGATACAGGGTTTTTCAAAACTTTTTAGAAATAAATACCTTAAAAGTGTGTCAYGCATTTGTATTCCACCCCTTTGACTCAGTAATTTGTAAAACCACTTTTCATTTCAGTTCCAGCTGCAAGTCTTTAGCGGCAGCAGCACGGATGGAAAACAATGCCTTAATTTTTGAGAACACTTGCRTACAGTATATCCCTAGAACACAAACTTAAATGCATGCACCTTTTTATGTACTCTTGTATTTTATTAACAGGTTGCTATCAACTATTTTAAAAGTGAACTAAGCAAACTTTTAATTCATTTTGTGTCAAATGYTTGTGTTTTGTTTGATTTCAAAACACACTGGAAGGAAAATTGTACTGTAAAACACAATATGGATATAATAAATTGGCTAAGTTGGTAACAATACAAATTTTTTACTGTAACTAAAATGCAGGATTAGAGCTTAGTTTTAGTCTTCAACAAGGGTGTGAAGCTATAACATTCATAACTAAAGTATCACTGAGTTAATTATAATTTAGAAAAGATAATAGTTAACTGTATTTTCTTCTTTTTAATTCAATTCTTATATCCATAATTACAGAAGCTGGCAGATGTTTTGGTACTTCTTTCATTAAAAGAAGAAAAAACTACAAGGATCACTGAAATAGCTTGAAACTGACAGACTGAAAAAAAATAAGGAAAATAAATGATTACATTTGAATTTTGGTTGATCAGAATTATTTTACAGGAAGAAATCAATAATACTGGCCTTGATGGTACCCCCAGAAAAGACTGCAACTAATGTGACCCAAACTAAGGTGTGTCCTGTTAATAGCCAGATTTGACTGTTAACAGTCAGACCTGACTTTAAATGGTGACAGGTAGTCACAGGGCTGTTTGGTAACATGGTGTGTACCACACTGAACATGGAGCACAGAAAGCTAAGAACAGAGTTGTCTCGGAAGCTTAGAAAGAAAGTTATTGACAAACATGTTGAAGGTAAAGGTTATAAGACCATCTTCAAAGTAGCTTCATGCTCCTGATGATTCAGAAATAGAAGGTTCACAGGACTGGAGACAACTTCCCTGGATGTGTGTATAAGAAGAAAATTTATGAAAAATGGAAATTACGGCTAATATAGTCAATTTGGTTCCACAGCTCTGACCAGCTTCGATCTGAAGCTGAACAGTCATGTCTTCGTCGTATGGTTGAGACWTTCCTTTACATATACACCTTCCACATATGGTGCAGAGCTCCTGGGAAACCCCTCCCACTGCTGTACACCTCACAGCAGGGGTTTTCTTCCCACTGCAATCTTCACTTCAATATCTGCCGTTTGGCCACAAATCTATGACGGATAGAGCACTTCACATTTTGGAAGATGGATTCCTCTGAGCATAACGTCTGTGCCATATCCAGGAGTTTTTTTTCCCTGTTTGACTACCTTTTATAAGTGTCTGGAAGACTCGTACAGATGGATGTACTTGCTGACGGCCTCGGGCAACTGCTCCTCAAAAGTCTCTGAGCTGTTTGGACGCACAGCAACCGACTTCTAGAAGCAATAGTTGAAGGAAAATGACAGAGATGTTGTAAGCCAGTGAGAGCTGGTTTCATGGCTTTGATGGAGTATGTAATTAAGTTTTCTGAATTGTAATTGTATGGGAACATGCAATAATGACAAATAAATTACATTTACTTTTGAAGCCAGGAAATTGAATATTGGTCAGATCTGATGTTTTACTGTGTTTCTACATGGCTTGTGACAAAATGCAAACAGGACTTACGACTTTCAGAGGGTCCGGTGGCGCCTGTGTATGGCAGCCTTGCTTTCTGTCAGTGTGCCCCAGGGCAGCTGTGGCTACAATTGTAGTTTGCCATCATCAGTGTGTGAATGTGTGTGTGCATGCATGTGTCTGTAGTGTGAAGCGCTTTGAGTGTCCTGGATGGATAGACTATATAAGTACAGTCCATTTATCATTTACCATTTCTACCAACGAAGACTTTCTTTTTGCCACGTTAGGGGTTAGGGTTTTTTGTTAATCAACAAAGGCCAGACTTGTGGGAGATGAGATTCGCCCACCTGAGCTGTGGGCATCCCGCCTGCTTCTCAGAGTCCCTTATAGGTGGATGATCATGACTTGATGGGTTTTTCACTTATGCCAGAAGCTATTGTCAGATGATGGATTGAATAGAGATCAATGAGATGCTCAAAGCTTTGAATATGGTTTTAGAAGGTAACCCCGCTTTTCTTCTCAACTTTATCCYTGTATAGTGTGTTCCTTGGTCTTCATGATGCTGTTTGATCACTAATGTTTTGTAATAAACCTCTGAAGTCTTCATGGAACATAAGGATTTATAGTGAGATTAAATCACATAGTTACTAAGGTGACTTCTGAAGGCTCTGGATTTTATCTCAAGGTATTAAATGAAAGGAGACCGAATACAAATAAACTCACTCTTTACAAATTGTTAAAAATGTAGCATTTTTATTTCACTTCACAATTATGCACTACCTTGTGTTAGACTATTACAAAAGTTGCAGTAAAGTACATTGAAGTTTGTGAAGGGTATGAAGCCTTTCAGAGTGTTGATCCCTCCCAGGACATGGGGTGATTTTAGTTATGAAAGTATTTGTTATGTAACTTGTAGAATCTTGCTCACCGTGCTCTCTGTCCTCCACAACAAAGGCCTTCATTCAGTCAAACATCAATAAGCACTGTTCCAGGGGCCCCACTGTGGGCTGCTAACGTTCCCACCAGCCTCTGAGGTTACAAACACGAGGAGAAGGGTTTAGTCATTTTATGCTTGAGCTTAACTACCTGAAGGCTTTAAAGATTCAATTTAAGCTTTTGTAAACATGATTCATTGCCAATTTCTGTTCTGTAAGTAACATTACTGTAAATGTCTTTGTTTTGTTTTTGTTTTGTTTTTGTTTTTTTGCTCACACTTTCAAAGCTTGTGATACAATGAGACTAAAAGATTCATTTCTGGCCCTCAAGGGCAACACTGTCTCATTATGTTGGGAACATCACTCCTTCAATAAAGCATGGTGGTGACAGTATTATGTTGTGAGAATGTTTTCCATCAGCAGAGACTGGGAGACTGGTCAGCGTTATAGTAAAGACTTTGTTTAAAGGGGTTTCAAATATTTCAAACAAGTTCTTTTTCTTCATTATTTTGATGTAGTTTGTAGATAGAATTCTAAAAACTATTTTTAAATTTAATTATTTCGTTTGGTAAGACAACAAAACATACAAAACATTACTTTGCAACTCACTGTAATAAGTTCAGACCCCAAAGGGTTTCTAAAATTAAATGTTGCAGAGATTATATTCCACGTTTCATTAGATTTTTGAAATTGAGAAATGAATTCTTGCTCCGCAAAGATGCAATAAGAAATTTTTTCGAAAACAGTTTGTCGTATCCTTGTCCTTTCTTCCCCTCCAGGACCCAGACTCACAAACCTACTACCAACTCCAACCCGTCCAAATTTGCCCAGAAGTTTGGAGGGACGGAGAAATGTGCTCGATGTGGAGACTCGGTCTATGCAGCTGAGAAGATCATGGGGGCGGGCAAGGTGAGGCTTTGATCCAGAGTAAAGACTCATCATTACTTTCATTCTTATGAATATTTATTACAATATCTGTACAATACAATACAATTGGATTTTAGCTACTGTTCTGTTATTTTTAACTTCTAGCCAGTCTTTTGCGTTTATACAATATATTCTAGATAGCTTTTTACTACTTTTATCTAGCTTTTTTGCAACTTTGAGCTTTAAACTAGGACTTTTGGACTTCTAAGTTTTAGATAGTTTTGCTTTGTTTACCTTTTAGCCTTTTGCTATTTTCAGCTAACCTATGTTTTAGCTAACATTTGTTAATTTTAGCAAACGTTTACTATTTTAAATTCTAGCTAACCTTTGCTACTTTCAACTAACCTGTCCTACTTTTTGCTAATTTGTACTATTTTCAACATTTAGCTACCCTGTGCTACTTTTAGCTAACCTGTGCTAGTCTCAGGTAATCTGTGCTTTAGACAATTTTTACTACTTTTAGCGTTTAGCTAATTTATGCTACTTTAAGGACTTAGCTACCCAACTTCTATTTTTAGCTAGTGTTCTGCTAGTGTTTAGCTATGTGTCCTGCCTCAGATATCAGGAAGTGTCCATTCATGAAAATGACAGTGCACCGTTACCCCCCCCACCGGCGCGCGGTCGCAAGTGGTCTCAGTTGGGGGTTTGAAATAAGCATTTTAAAATATTTTTAAAATATGTCTGGCAATTTGGAGAAAATCCAGGACTCGCTGGAGGGATTATGTATACCCTCTGGCCTGKGAATGTCTCGGATTCCCCCAGGACGAGCTGGAAAGTGTCGCTGGGGAGAACGGGGTCTCTCTGCTGCTACCCCCGCGACCCGATCCCGGATAAGCGGCCGAAAACGGACGAACGGACAATTTATATTGTTAAGTCTAAATTATTACATTTAAAACTATAACTCTAATTCAAGCAGAATAGCCTATTGTCAAGACAATCATTTATTTTCAACTCAAAATATATTCAAGCTAACGAAATATAAAGTTATTAGGGAGGAAAATCCGTCTGGATAACAGCAGACT